TTATCACAGATGGGCATGTAATCACTGACTAACTTAGAAATGCTAAAAATGAGACATTTGTTCTATTACATATATATATACTAGTACAAATACAGATGGCAGGCTGGGTTTTTTTTAGTGGTTCAGAATACAGGATGTTCTTGTTTGAGCTGGGCAGTAGCAGCCTATTTTCAAATGATCTTATCTTTACATGTTGCATTTGATAAGATTACACTGTGATATTTAGGTAGACATAATACCAATCTATGGATTTAAACACATTTCAAGATACATCTCTGAGGTATAAGGTGCGTTTGAGAGCCCGGGCCAAGCCGGACCGAAAGCTTGTGATACTCTGTCTTTGTTGAGAATGTATAGAAAATAGGGCTTCACTTTGAGCCAGGTGTTTGCTTCAAATAGTACGCTTTGAGACTCTGTGAAGTGATATTTAGGTAGATATAATACTAATCTATGGATTCAAACACAAATCAGGACATATGTGTAGGGTTTAAGTTGTTTTTGAGAGCCCGGGCCAAGCCGGACCGAAAGCATGACTGTGATACTGTGTGGTTGTTGAAAATGTATAGAAAATAGGGCTTCACTTTAAGCAAGGTGTTTGCTTCAAATACTACGCTTTGAGACTCTATAAAGACGTACTTAGGTAGATATAACTGTATTCTAGAGATATAGACTGAAATCAGGATTCATGTGTGAGGTTTAAGGTGTTTTTGACAGCACGGACCAAGTCGGGCTGAACAGCGACTAAACACTTTTGATTGAGGCTATATTGTGAATGGAGAGAGAAAAGGGCTTCACTTTAACGAACCAGTTATCTTTACATGTGGCATTTTGTAACATGGCACATTGATATTTAGGTAGATATGATACCAATCTATGGATTTAAACACAAACCAGAATACCTCTGAGGGGTTTAAGTTGTTTTTGAGAGCCCGGGCCAAGGCGTTCCGAACACTTGTGATACAGTGTCCAAGTCGGGCTGAACAGAGACTAAACACTTTTGATTGAGGCTATATTGAAAAATGAGAGACAAAGGGCTTCACTTTAACGGAGCAGTTATCTTTACATGTTGCATTTTATAACATTACAAAGCGATATTTAGGTAGATATAATACCAGTCTATGGAATTTAAACACAATTCAAGATACGTGTGTTACGTTTGAAAATGAGAGACAAGGGCTAAGTTGCTTTTGACGGCTCGAGCCAAGCCGGGCGGAAAATTGTGGCCGAGATAATGTTGAGAGTGTGGGGAAGAGATCGTATCATTTAAATGTGGGCATGCTTTAAATACGATGAATAGTGAATTTATGGGGTGGTATGTGATTGGATATAGATGTAAAAACATTTTCGGGCCGACGGAAATGTGTATCGGAATTGGCTGAAGTATTTATACGTTTTAAATCCCGTTTCGTTTAACGATTCCACTTTTAGACGTAACCTCGGTCAGCCAGTTCACAGGCTTCTCGTCTTCCTGGATTTTAGCCGATTTACTCGTAATAAAGTTATTATGGTACGCGTTTGTGGCTTCCGATTGATCATTATTATCATGAGTGTATGTTGCATTGATTAATTGTAGGCATGGTTTTCGTTAATGGGTTTATTAGCCAATAATAGATTTGGCCCGCCTTGGCCCGGCCCGGCCCGACTTTTAGGCCATCCCTAGTGCATAGAGTATACAGATGAGATCAAGGGAGGGTTAGTGCATAGAGTATACAGATGAGATCAATGGAGGGGTTAGTGCATAGAGTATACAGATGAGATCAAGGGAGGGTTAGTGCATAGAGTATACAGATGAGATCAAGGAGGGGTTAGTGCATAGAGTATACAGATGAGATCAAGGAGGGTTAGTGCATAGAGTATACAGATGAGATCAAGGGAGGGGTTAGTGCATAGATACAGATGAGATCAAGGAGGGTTAGTGCATAGAGTATACAGATGAGATCAAGGGAGGGGTTAGTGCATAGAGTATACAGATGAGATCAAGGGAGGGTTAGTGCATAGAGTATACAGATGAGATCAAGGAGAGGTGCATAGAGTATTAGATCAAGCATAGAGAGTATACAGATGAGATCAAGGGAGGGTTAGTGCATAGAGCATACAGATGAGATCAAGGGAGGGGTTAGTGCATAGAGTATACAGATGAGATCAAGGGAGGGGTTAGTGCATAGAGTATACAGATGAGATCAAGGGAGGGGTTAGTGCATAGAGTATACAGATGAGATCAAGGGAGGGGTTAGTGCATAGAGTATACAGATGAGATCAAGGGAGGGGTTAGTGCATAGAGTATACAGATGAGATCAAGGGAGGGTTAGTGCATAGAGTATACAGATGAGATCAAGGGAGGGGTTAGTGCATAGAGTATACAGATGAGATCAAGGAGGGGTTAGTGCATAGAGTATACAGATGAGATCAAGGGAGGGAGTTAGTGCATAGGAGGGCTACAGATGAGATCAGAGGGAGGGGGAGTGCATAGAGTATACAGATGAGATCAAGGGAGGGGGTTAGTGCATAGAGTATACATCAAGAGGGTTAGTGCATAGAGTATATAGATGAGATCAAGGGAGGGGTTAGTGCATAGAGTATACAGATGAGATCAAGGGAGGGATTAGTGCATAGAGTATACAGATGAGATCAAGGGAGGGGTTAGTGCATAGAGTATACAGATTAGATCAAGGGAGGGGTTAGTGCATAGAATATACAGATGAGATCAAGGGAGGGGTTAGTGCATAGGAGTATACAGATGAGATCAAGGGAGGGGTTAGTGCATAGAGTATACAGATGAGATCAAGGGAGGGTTAGTGCATAGAGTATACAGATGAGATCAAGGGGAGGGAGTTAGTGCATAGAGCATACAGATGAGATCAAGGGAGGGGTTAGTGCATAGAGTATACAGATGAGATCAAGGGAGGGATTAGTGCATAGAGTATACAGATGAGATCAAGGGAGGGGTTAGTGCATAGAGTATACAGATTAGATCAAGGGAGGGGTTAGTGCATAGAATATACAGATGAGATCAAGGAAGGGGTTAGTGCATAGGGTATACAGATGAGATCAAGGGAGGGATTAGTGCATAGAGTATACAGATGAGATCAATGAAGGGATTAATCTGTTGTTTAGTGTCTTGTGTCAAGGAAATTTGGGATTAGCTAAAAGTTGTTTTAGTTTCATGATGAAAGATAAACCTCTAGTGAGTAGAACAATTTTACAAATTGGATAGTGTGTAGGTTGTTAAATGTTGAAATTAAGTTGTTTTAGTGCCATGATGAAAGATACACAGTAATATTGAGACCCCAGTCTTAGGACCCCTAATGTTCATAATGTATATTAATGATATTGTAGATGATATTGCTAGTAATATTAGACGACACGTCTCTATACGTTATAATTGATGATCCTGACATAGCTGCAGACTGTTTAAATAATGACTTATTAAGAATTTCAAATTTGGCCAAAGAATGGAAGGTTTCATTCAATCCTAACAAAACAAAATCAATACAGTTCAGTAGAAAAAAAAATAGAAGCATTAAACCTGATCTTACAATGAACGGTGTGATAATCACGACGTAGATAATCATAAGCATCTAGGCTTGACTCTTCAAAATAACTGTTACTGGGATATTCACATAAACTCAATGAAAAGAAAGTTAGCCCACTGATTAAATGCTCAAGAAGTTTGAAATATCGATTATCGCGTAAACGTTTAGAAATTATCTACAAGTCTTTCATCTTACCGACGACATATGCCAGATCATTTCTACCGGATACAATAAAACTATGGAATTCCCTAAGTTCTGAAATTCAAAATATTGATACTTTATCCCGATTCAAAAACTCGATATTAAGACAATATAACAAAACTATTATTTTTGATCTAAACTGATTTGATTTGAATGCTGATAGGCTTGATAGACATCATCGACAGCCCCTCGTGCTCATGTGGCCATCCAGTCGAAAATGCTGTGCATTATCTCTTTACATGCAATAAATACACGGAATTAAGACAAAACTCGTATTTCTATTTAAAGGGGTTTAGTGTCAACACTGTGCTATGGGTATCAACACTGTACTATGGGTATCAACACTGTACTATGGGTATCAACACTGTACTATGTACATTGAATGTTACCAATTAATTGTATATAGGTAGTATTTTTTCCTGTACCACGATTGGTCAAAAGAACGTCACATGATTGACTACAAAACACGATATTGACTTGAGTTTTCTGATAAATTACGATATTGACTTGGGTTACTAAAAATAGACAAGGAATCCCGTACGAAGGGGCTTCCCCCGCTTTTCAGCCAATCAGATCACTCGGATAGTTGGCACAGTGTGTGCATTAAAAGTTTATGTTAAAACCCGTTTCTCTTTCATTATATAATAAAACAATTATAGACTCTTGTAGAGGTCGATATCGGTTTTTCTTGACCTGAGTAAAGCAATATCGACCGAGCTTGCGAGTCTATAATTGTATAATGTTCATCACCTAATCATATTGACAAATTATTGTCACCCTGATGATGACAAATGATGATATCAACCTTCATTAAAATCATTTTCTCAGCCTTATAGCTGTGTGTTGTTATGTCTCTTAAGTGGATAAGTCCATTGTATGGAATAGGTAACAGGCAGGGGGTTAACAGTGTAACAGACCGAAAACTATGTTGTTATAAAATGTAGGGGGAGTGTCATGTAGGGGTAATGGGGGTTATCTCTTCAGTAACCCATGCTTGTCGTAAGAGACGACTAACAGGATCGGGTGGTCAGACTCGCTGACTTGGTCGACACATGTCCTATGCTTGTAAGCGTCGGTGTCCTACGGTATTGACATTGCGCCGCACGTTCGTTACGGAAAGGGGCGAGCGGTGACGAATGTGCGCCGCGGTGTAACTCCAATGCGCGACGTTAAACGACAAACAAACAAAACCCAAAACCAAACGTGAAATCAAGCAATGGCGGTTAGCTCATGCACCGTTTCTCATTGTAAAGGTAGATCACAAACCTTCGCTCCCTCTGGCTAGATAATGCCAGTGGTGTTTGAAGTATACACCGCAGCGCGACGTATACAACGTTGTTGTATGCTGTGATCACCAGTCGGTGGAACTTCGATACACTTAAGCGTTCCAATGAGACCCTGCAGTGCGACAGGAACTGGTGTCACGTGGTGATATTAGCCGCGCCCACTGCAGGTTCAAGGTCTGCAGGTCCGACTCCTGTATCTGAGACACACGGTAAGGCAATAAGCGTCAGGTTGTACATAAAGCCCACTTGTTTGTATGAAGCCGGTACCAGGAACAGGAAACGAAAGTAGGGCTTTTCTTAGAACTTAGAAATACTGATCGTGCGTTGCGGCCTTCACAGAATGAGAAAATCACAATGGAATACCTGTCGTTTTAATGTACGAGAAAATTGTGATGAAGTGTTTTTGAAAACACTCATCTTAAATGAAGTTTAGTGCAGGATTTAGACAATCATATCTGTTCAGCTCTTAGCGAATACTGCCATAGTACCATTGTGCTTTATCATCAAAGTTGGAATCAGCCAGGGGGTGTCACTTTCTCCCCCCTCTTATGGTGACATGACTACATACGGAGAGAGAGAGAGAGAGAGAGAGAGAGAGAGAGAGAGAGAGAGAGAGAGAGAGAGAGAGAGAGAGAGAGAGAGAGAGAGAGAGAGAGAGAGAGAGATCAGAGAGAGAGAGATACAGAAGAGGCTAGCTACGAACTTCTTAAGCCCATTCTTAACACATTGGCTAAAATCAAAGTTAAGAATTCTTAGGGCTACGAAGGTTTCGAGAATAAGGGCCCTGATTATTACAAGTCATCATATTACTCCGAGGTATGTCTCCTTCACTACGGCAACTTGGCCTGTCATATACAGTGTGGGTATCAGTACGAGACACTTTTTTCTGAGAAAGATTCATGCAAAGTAAAACACAGAACAAATTCAAATAACATCATACTGGATTTAATCCAACTTGCATACCAACAAAACAATGATGCCATTGAACCTCGTTTGAACAGTCAGTTAGAAATATCATCCAGGATAACCTAACAAACGTTGTTGTTGGTCTCGCGGAACAAAAATCTAATTATCAGAACAAAATATAACATCCAAATGAGAAACAAGGATATATACTTCAGCTCCCTCTCTCTGGCAGTTTCAAGGCGATATAATATGTATACAGTATCTACATTCAGTTTGAGTATTGAATAACTGTCAAAACAAGGTAAAAATATTAAGAACAAAGATATTGAGATACAAAAACTAACTAGAAAAACAAAACATATCCTGATCATAAGTCTCTGCTTAAAGCGTTTGTATGATTCGGCGAGACCAATATATACCACCTAAGACTGGAGGAAAATACATATGCATGAGCATAAGGAAACGCGTCAGCTTAGGAGCACATTTTGTGTCCAAGTTTAGTTCCTTCACAAATAGCTTATCCCAAAACTTGTCATGGCTGTTATCGATGAAGTGCAACATTTCATACATTGTTTTTGCAGTCAGATTCTGCTGATATTTGCTTTCAGCTTCAACAAGAGTCTTGAATCTCTGACGATAGAGATTAAACTATATCCATGGTCTGGTCTTTAAAAGGACAAAGGACAATGGTTCCGGGATTGGACGTGTTGGAATATTGGAGTACAAAGTTGGGATGTTTGTGTACCAAGAAGGGATAGTGGTGAACCGAGAAGGGATAGTGGTGTACAATGTAGGGATAGTGGTGTACCAAGAAGGGATTGTGGTGTACCAAGAAGGGATAGTGGTGTACCAAGAAGGGATAGTGGTGTACCAAGAAGGGAAAGTGGTGTACAATGTAGGGAAAGTGGTGTTCCAAGAAGGGATAGTGGTGTACCAAGAAGGGATAGTGGTGTACCAAGAAGGGATAGTGGTGTACCAAGAAGGGAAAGTGGTGTACAATGTAGGGAAAGTGGTGTTCCAAGAAGGGATAGTGGTGTACCAAGAAGGGATAGTGGTGTACCAAGAAGAGATAGTGGTGTACCCAGAAGGGATAGCGGTGTACCAAGAAGGGATAGTGGTGTACCAAGAAGGGATAGTGGTGTACCAAGAAGAGAAAGTGGTGTACCAAGAAGGGATAGTGGTGTACCAAGAAGAGATAGTGGTGTACCAAAAAGGGATAGTGGTGTACCAAGAAGGGATAGTGGTGTACCAAGAAGAGATAGTGGTGTACCAAGAAGAGATAGTGGTGTACCAAGAAGAGATAGTGGTGTACCAAGAAGGGATAGTGGTGTACCAAGAAGGGATAGTGGTGTACCAAGAAGGGATAGTGGTGTACCAAGAAGTGATAGTGCTGTACAAAGAAGGGATAGCGGTGCACACAGTACGACTAACAGTATACAAAGTAGGAGAAGGTCCCTGATTCTGTGGATGAAAAAACTATGAAAGATGACTTGTATCAAACACATGTATGAGATGGGATCCGGGTCTGTGATTGGCTACTACATAGTGATGACTTATGGTCAAATTGCGAAGCACCATTTTCGGGGTAATAATTTATATTATTAAAGTTTAACTCCAGGTCATGGACAGACGGGCGCCTCACCGCCAGTATCGGGAAAACGGCACCCCGCCACGTAAGCTTGCACGTGCGCGGCGTGCGTACGGGCATGCGACTCGTCGTCATACGTGTAATGGTACTACCTTTGTAATCCAAGGCGAACCAATATCCTACGAGGAGTTTGCGACAGATGCGTGCGACACTGGCGGCGGCGGCATTTACAATCGTGATTGGGTTTATATAGCGTGGCGTTCTGACATGGTATGCTTGTGTAATGAACATATCAACATCAAGGAACTTGCGATCGTTGGCGTGGCGGCGAGGAGATGGGCGGCGGCATGGAGCGGGAAACATGTGATTATTTATACCGATAACTCGGCAACTATGTACGCTATTAACAAAGGTACCTCACATAACCCAGCAGCAATGAAGATAGTAAGGCATTTATTTTGGCTAGCTGCATCCTACGGCTTTCACTTAACCTCTAGACACATTCCGGGTGTGAGGAACACAATCAGTGACAAAATCTCTCGGCTCCACAGAAAAGACAATATGTCATGGTTACAAAATGCTGGTTATGACATGAATTTGTTAAACCATATGACTCTCAGTTCTATGACGTTTTTGCAGGCCCAGTGGTAGCAGATCTGTGTCGGTTAGACGCCGAGCTGACATCATACAAGCAGGCGGCCTATGCATACACGACTAAGAAAACCTACTCTGCGATGATACGATGTTATCTCAGGTTCTGCGTATATTTCAGTCTTACACCACTTCCAGCTTCTACTTTGACTATAGGCCGGTACATAGCCTTCCTAGCGCGCTCTCTCAACGCTAACAGTATACCCGGATACCTCAACGTCATCAGACTACTACATCTCAACTCTGGCTTTGACAACCCCCTCACTGCATGGACGTTAAGTCTAGTTAGAAGGGGTGTCATGCGTATTAAAGGCAAGCCACCGGCACAGAAATTACCTATCACGCCAACCATTCTGCGACAAATCAGATCTAAACTCGATTTATCTATCCCATTTAACATCGCATTTTGGAGTGCATGTTTGGTGGCTTTCTTCACCTTCATGAGAAAGTCTACACTGTTACCTGGTAAACAAAGTAAGTCTCCTGATCGCCAATTGTGTGTTCGTGATGTAATTGTTAATGATGCTACTGCCTATGTGACCATTCGACATTCTAAGACTATTCAGTTCGACAGAGGGTGTTACGACTGCCACTGGCCAGTCTGAAGGGTTCCCTTTGTGCCCCGTTACAGCGCTCAGGTCACTGCGTGAGATCCAAGGCAAGATACCGCCTACAAATCATCTGTTTTCTTTCATGTGTGATGGTAAGATCTGTGGTCTAACGTATACCGCCTTTATTACAGCACTAAAGAAAGTGCTGGGGGCCTGTGGGTACCCGGCAGATAGCTACAGTGGCCATTCGTTCAGGCGAGGGGGGTGTACCTTCGCTTACAAGATAGGCGTGTCACCCATGCTCATTAAACTCCATGGAGACTGGAAATCAAACGCTTACGAAAGATACGTTTCTGTAGATGGAGTAACCCATGATAAACTTTCAAAAGATATGATAATAGCAGCATCATGTGCAGAATAGGTGTTGGGGGTTTGGAGGATTTTATGTATTTATATGAAAAGTTTGTTATTTTATGTGTCAATGTGAATAAAAATTGGCATCGTATCCCCAACACCTATTATGTTATATCATGGAAAGAGTTAAGGGGTAATAATTTATATTATTAAAGTTTAACTCCAGGTCATGGACAGACGGGCGCCTCACCGCCAGTATCGGGAAAACGGCACCCCGCCACGCAAACTTGCACGTGCGCGGCGTGCGTACGGGCATGCGACTCGTCGTCATACGGGACGAAGAGTCAGTCTCGCGGCTGCAGTCGACGTGTAAAGACACCCGCCCACCTCCCTGGGCAACCTGTTTTACTGATAGATTTTTACTAGTGTTAAGAGAGGAGGATTTTATGTATTTATATGAAAAGTTTGTTATTTTATGTGTCAATGTGAATAAAAATTGGCATCGTATCCCCAACACCTATTATGTTATATCATGGAAAGAGTTAAGTTACTTTTAGTCGTGCTGCGGTTGAAATCTTTTACGCCTGAATCCCAACTTGCTACAACTGTGACTGCGATGTATAAAGTGGATTTTCACGCAACTCAAAGTAATGCCCCCATTTCACTGGACCACGATGGCTGGTGTAAGTCCCGATCCCTCCCGATTCGCTACCTACGACTGAATCAGCTGTAATCGGGGAAATTTTGTTTATATGTCATATTTTACAGAGTAAAATAGATTTTGATTACGGTATGGTACGAGTAACGTCCCTTGCCTCTACAACAGTATCGCTGCAGTTATCTCCCTTATATTAGCATCAGCGCCAGCACGGCGTCAGGCTTTCAACATCACGGAGCAGTGATAAATTGTATAGAAAATGTCATCAAAAGAGGTTGCAGAGCAAACCGACGTGAAACCGAAACGCCAGAAAGCTGGACTAAAGATGATGGAAGCCCTTGAGTCGCTAAAACCTTCTCCACGGACGTCTTCTGACATTCTCTCACCGCAGATTCGGCAAACCATGTCGTCTGGTAGCCCGCCATTGCATCAGCCAACGACATGGAACGGAGCACACACGCCCTCGAAATGGAATGTGCCGAATTAGAAACAGAAATGAAACGTCTCAGGTTGGAAGCTATGCGTGTTACTCTGGCGAAGGAAGTGCACCGCCTTAGACAAGAGTTGGATGTTAGTAAACCTGCGCGGCAACGCTGTGCAGCTAAACAAGATGGAAGCCAGCGAGATGAAATTTTGTTTATATTTCTATTTTATACATTAAACTTGCGGTATACTTACGGTTCCTATGACAGTTATTAAGATAAGGTTCTCCCACTAATATATTATGATAAGGAGCCGATCTCTTCAAATTTCTGCTACGACTTTCTCACGATGTATCCCGATAGCTACGATTAACTGTCGTTTACACTACGATATACTGCTGCGTTTATACACTACGCCACGATAAGGCGACGATGGCCACGATGGGGATTTTTTTTGAAAATCGTAACTCATCTTTTAAAGCGTGAGAGATCGCAGATCGAAATCGCGAGGCATCTTGATAATCGTGGCAAAATATTAAACATGTTTAACATTTTGCCACGATGATGCCGATAGTTCTAGCTATCACTTCAGAACGTGGTACTGCATAGTAGAGTGTGGGCATCGGAACAAAGGGAACAGGTCAAAATGGGCACACAACAAAAATGGCCACACTGACCCTAGTCAAAATGGCCACACAAAAAAGTCAAAACGGCCACAACCCCTAGTTAAAATGGCTATAGAAAACGTCAAAATGCTCATATCCCCCTTGATGCCGATGTTTTTTTCAGGCGCACATTTTCATACGGTTTGAAAAGTGAACGTTGTGCGAGAATTGCGGTCGCGTGGTCCTGGATCTACGTACGGCTATAAAATATATTACACAGAAATGTAGAATATTAAATTTCCTATCCGTTGGTATAAATATAAGTGCAACTACCTCGGCGGTTTGAAAAAAAGACCTTGCTAAATGTTGTCCAAGTTTTTGTTATGCGTTAAAAAAGAGTAACTTTTTCCGCTTTTTATCGCGCACCGATAAAAGCACTGTGCTACGAATTTTTTATTTTGGCATCTTTACGGAAAGTGTGAGCGAAGAAAATACAGCCTGATATCTGAACGACATATACGCTCAACATTAAAAATGACTCGCAATAAATGTCAAAAATGGATTTTCTTGTACGACGTCAAACGACGACAGAGAGGTCATACACGTATAATGATATGGGGGCATAACTCCGTTATGCTTAACACTAGGTCAATGTAACTCAGATCACATGGAGAGTATTTGTTGTGGATACGGACGCTATGTTTTCGTTATTTTTTGTTCACGGTGAACCAAACTATCCCAATTCAAAGTTCCCCAATGTGAGCGGATACGCTTTGATAGTTTCACAATTTATAAGAAAAGATGACGACGTACTACATGTGAAAGCGCGTAATAGCGATTTGGATGGCCCTATCCGATATAGTTAGTTCTTAGATTCCGATATTCTCCTGTTTGTGTAGATGTATTTTGACTTATTTTGCATCGTTATTACCAGAATACTAGCCATATCTTCAAATGTATTGAAATTGCTGAAAATAATACAACATTTTAGTTGACGTCATTGCTTGTTTTATGCATTTTGCGACGTCGGAAAGTGACGACATTGGTATGCTGAATAGTATATATCTCACCTTATTTGAATTAATTGTGTGAAAGGTCTCGGCTTCTTTGTCAGAATTAACACTCTTTAGACAAAACATAAAATGACTTTTTTTCCATTTGAAATAGTGTCCTGAATATATCAACAATTAGACAGTTTGACTGTGTATCTTATCATGAGCAACACGCGCACCTGTTTGGCATCAATTTAACGTAAATGAAAAATAACACCAGAATATTTTGTGTAGGATAGGAATTTTATTTATTTATGATTATGTAGCTATTTCTCTTCATACGTATGCAATGGAACATGCAAAAAAGATAGCTTTTTATATATGGAACTAGTACGTACTATATATTAGAATATGGATGTAAGATTTGTCCAAATTAAGACATGACATGCTTTATACATTTTTATACAATTTTTGATAAATATAGTTAGAGTTTGATATCCTGTCATCACAATGATTTTAAATCGAATATGAATTGATTATATTATCGAAAACAATGATAGTGAATCATAAAACGTTTCCGACAAACGCGCACCTGGC